ACCGGGCAGGCTTGAAAAATATGCCTGGCCACGGCGGGATTCGAACCTACCACCTTTGGAATACTAGCCCAATGCTCTTCCAACTGAAATATCGCATACTCGAACCGTCCTGACCGCGTAGCTCAGTTGGAAGAGCATTGGGCTAGTATTCCAAAGGTCGTAGGTTCGAATCCCGCCGTGGCCAGGCATATTTTTCAAGCCTGCCCGGTGGGGATATACACTCAGAGTAACATCACACAAACATCTTATTCACCTGAGTACATTACACCAACACAGCAGATTTCATGATTATTAGATTACACTGATATCGAAGGAACTAGACTCAGTTCCGAAATATCGCATACTCGAACCGTCCTGACCGCGTAGCTCAGTTGGAAGAGCATTGGGCTAGTATTCCAAAGGTCGTAGGTTCGAATCCCGCCGTGGCCAGGCATATTTTTCAAGCCTGCCCGGTGTGGATATACACTCAGAGTAACATCACACAAACATCTTATTCACCTGAGTACATTACACCAACACAGCAGATTTCATGATTATTAGATTACACTGATATCGAAGGAACTAGACTCAGTTCCGAAATATCGCATACTCGAACCGTCCTGACCGCGTAGCTCAGTTGGAAGAGCATTGGGCTAGTATTCCAAAGGTCGTAGGTTCGAATCCCGCCGTGGCCAGGCATATTTTTCAAGCCTGCCCGGTGTGGATATACACTCAGAGTAACATCACACAAACATTTTACATATATGTCAGTTTGGTAAGGGTTATACTACACCATTGATAAATAAGTTTGGACTGTAAATGATATTCTATGCATGCAGTATCAAATTTTCTACCTGGATGAGGGAGTATAAAACATGATACAATGGCCCTTTTGACTTCAAAACACTGCATCAAAATAACTACAGAAGTTTAAAGTGCATTATGCATATTTTATATAGCCCTGGGTATGGCAGCCCCTGTTTCTAAATCTCGATCTGCTGACAGTGCTGTGTTTTCAGGAAGACCAAAACTTCTTGATAGTGAAGATGAGCAATTTATTTGCAAGGCAATAGAGGAAAAAGCCACTTACCATGGCCATCGTTCAGAGCCAACTATGTTCACCAACAGACGAGTTAAAGTCCGAGATCTGGTTGGTATTGCCAATTTCCACCTCACCAAACGAGGTAAACCTACTTTGAAGTCATCAACAACTGTGCTGAACCGGTCAAGACCCAGAAACAAAAGAAGTATACAGAGACGAAAGCATATAGGTTGGTATGAATACCTATATTAAGTGGGTTGCTGAATGAAGTGCATGAGTGTGTAAAATTCTATTCGCAATTAGAAAATTTGTTGTTTTAAAAAATTACTGGTTTGTATTAAATGTTGGTTTGTTGACACAATTTTAGGGAAGGGGCTGTTTTGCTGTCGTAAGCCACCAAAAACTGAGAAGGCATTAAATGAAAACACCCACTACCAAAGGGCTCACAAAAAGAATGTCGTGATGTCTTTCTTCTCATCAGATAGCAGAACAAAACCAAAGTATTGTTTTGCCCGGAGCATTGATGACAAAGCTTACTTAAGGCCAGGTAATTTTACATTTCTGTTAATTATAGTAAAGTGCTACTGCAATAAAAAACTTATCCATGACCTAGTATATCAGTGAAATGTCAAATTTAGATAGATGTCTTTTTGTAGTAGCAGAGCAGTAGTGTTTTGTTCGATAGGAGTTAGCTCCTACTTTTTCCACGACATCCATTTTGTCATTGTAAAATAACAATGCAGCACCGTTGTTATTACAATACTTTTTGACTTTTGTCGACCCAGGAACTAGCGAAGGCTTTGGAAACACCAGAAAAACGCGAATACTTACTCCATCTGCATAAAAAAAAAGCGAGAAAGTTGCCCATGTATGACTGGCCGGAGAAAATGGTTTATATAACACCTTCAACTCACCGAATTCTGCACAAAGAAGGTAGGAACAGTAACAATGATTGGCAAGTAGAGCTGGCCCAATACTCCTAGGCCCATACTGTATATGCTTAACCTATTGGTCAACAATTGATTAATAGGCCAATGAATTAACGAAAAAAGTATCTTCCAATATGAGAAATATAATATTAACAAAGACTCATACTCATATAAAATAATTGTCTTCAATGTATTTAAACTATAAAAAGGCTGACAACATTAACTCAAACAATTTACTAAAATGTGAATAAAAATTTAATAGCTGTTCTCAATGAACCAACATTTGGTCGCGGCGTAGCGCAGTAATCGATTGCCGGAAAATGTGATCAATCTTTGAATTAATCGATGCATTGAGTGCAGCTTTAATTTTAAACTACCCTTTAAGTGTTAATAAATAAAGTGCTACAGTACATATTTTATTGATTCATTACTGACTGTACTTCTTATATTTGAAATTTTATATTAGCCGTCACTGTACAAGGTGAAGAAAAACTCGTCAATGAAGATGACACGCACGTTGTGTTCATTTGACCGAAGGCGTTTGTAGATTCATCCAGTACAACATGGGCCAATGAAACTGAGGAACTGAGACCTAAGCTTCCAGATAAGTTTGAAGTTGCTAACGAGAACGATCCCAAATATTCCGCAGAGTTTAGAGGCACTTGTGCCCGTGTGCATGATGACACAAAACTTTTTGTGGAAATGACAAATGAAGATGACTTAGCAAATGTAACCTCTTGCAAATTTCCCGAAAACCCATATTGTCAGTACGAGAAAGAGAGACTCTCGCATTTCATGATTCACTTGGAATCATCCTTGTCTTTGTGTGGTCGCTTCAATCTAAACGAAGCTGACTTAAAGCTACTTGCAACAGCAATGATCCCTATAAAGTTGACTGATATAATTGATACTGCTAAAGCTCTGCGTGACAATTTCCCTTCAGAAGCACATCAGGTGCAGCCGAAATACGATGCTCTTTTGAAAAAATGCCATTCTCTTCTTGAGGGGATTGCAGAGCTGAAGTTTCCGCCTGTGAAACCAAGATGGGCGGATTTTACCGACGCTGGACCTGGAGTTGCTTGTAACAATTTCGAAGTACAGTTCAGGGATGCTGAGTTAGCGATTATCCATAACAGTGACTATCGGATCAGACTGCATTCTTCCAGGGGTAATTCGTCTGATAACGAGGCCGAGAGAACTAACAGCACAATCGGCGACAGTATCGTAGATGGCGCAACACTCCAGTGGAACAAACATAAACGCTTTGATGGACTAAGTGATGAAGATATAAGTAAACTGACGGTGAAAGAGTTTGAAGAACACAAGACGGATAGAATGGAGAAGAATGCGTGGTACTGTGCTAATGAAATTCGCAATAGGGTTGATGGGGCACCAGTGTTTAACGAGTTTATTAAATGTTATTTAACTCCAAAGCAAAGCCCTTTCTTTTTCAACAAGAAAGACTTGAAACAATTTCAAAGTTGTACTGCCGCTGAGTCAAAACAACAGGTTCCTGGTTACCACTACATAACGAATGTTTTAAACTTTATTGAAAGACACTACAGAATTGGTGAACTATATATGGAATATATAAGGGACGGATGTCGGGAAAATGGAGAGGTATGCAAGAAATGTAGTGAAAAGGACTGGGTTGGACCCAGGTTCTCCAGAGTTCGTGCCCCGTATCCAGATCCTGATAAGCCAGGGCATTATATGAGTGTTTTCAACACACCAACCACAGACAATAACGGGCAGTTAAGGGAAGTGGATGATGTCGCTCCCAGGGCAGTGATAAAGCGTCTATATAAAGCTGGCACGATCTTATCGGACAATGTCAAACAACTTAAAGAAGTATCCAGTCGCTATTGTGTTGAAGAGAAGGATGTTGCATCATATGTTAAACACCTTGAAGAGTTGAAAATGATGTCTGCTATCAGGGAAAACGAAAGAAAGAGTGCAGCAAAACCTATGAGGACTACGATTGGAATACCCTCATTGATTCAGGAAAACTAAATTCATTAAAAGTGATGGAACTTGACAAGTACCTTAAGAGACACAACCTGTCCACTATCGGAAAAAAAGAGGATAAAATCAAACGAATTAAAGCAGATTTCTACATAAATAGGACCAACGACGCAGCCATTGATGCAGAAACTTCAGATGATGATACTTTGTCAGGAGATGGTGAATCCGATTCTGACGATGATGAAGTACTTCAGATAATTCCAGAAGGCGATGAAGACGACAATTCAACTCAGGGAATGTCTGAGGATTCTGATGAAGAAATTGCAAATTTGCCAACGATACACAGCAGAAGAGCAGCTAGTTTTCCACATGCAAGATACGAAGACTATTATGTTAATTAACTAGTTAAAATCAGGATAATGCCCAGGTATAAGATTTTGGATGTAGTTATATATGGGTATTATTAAAATTGAGCAAAGGAAGAAAGGGGGGGCTCTTAATTTTTAGGGATACTTACAGGGGGGGCTCACAAATTTCAGCACAATGTTGCGATGGGCTCCTAAAAAAATCTTGTAAGCAATACGAAATCTTCACTCCCCCCCTTGTCATATTAAATGAACATTCCCTTATGAACCTTTGTATTATTAAAATTGTATTATGATATTTGGGACATGAAGGAAAAACTGCGAGAAAGAGGATATGAAGATATGACATTGAAAGAAATAACCAATAAAATAAAGAAATTAAAGCAAAAGTATAAAAGTGAAAAGGACAAGGCTAAGAAGAGTGGAAATGAGAGAAAAAAGCCATGGAAATATTTCCAACAGCTGGACAGATTTTTGTTAGATTATATGATATATTGTGATGATACATTTATAACATTGTTAGATGAAGTTTTGGCTTAGAATCACATGACTTTTCCTCTCAATACTTCGAAGATGAACACCGCGTATATAAACTGTTGAACCATGTGATTGTACATATTTTATTTCATATTCGTATTATTAAAACTATAAAAACAACAGCTTATGGGCCCAGGAAAACTCGAAACCATCCTGGAGCAGTGTGTTGGCGAAATAATAATGTTTATGTGGTATTTTATGCGAAAATTTATTCGATGAAAATATGGCGACGTCATCAGATTTTGCGTTGAAAATTACGAAGTTGAACGGTTCTAACTACCGGAATTGGGCGTTTAACATACGGCTTTACCTACAAAGTTTCGATTTATACGGACATGTAGATGGATCGGCTGTGAGTCCTGGAGAAGATGCTAGTGATGCTGTGAAACAAGCTTTCAGAACTGCTTCGAAGAAAGCATGGACGTACATTTGCTTGGCAATTGAGCCTGGGCAGCAAATACACGTAAGAGACACTACTACTGCAAAACAAGCCTGGGATGCGCTCAAAAATCAATTTCAACGGGAATCGATTTTACAGAAAATAAGATTGCGACAACAATATTATACCTGTAAATTTCATAGTGGTGGCAACATGTTAGCGCATATAAACAATATGAGATCCCTCCATGACCAACTGAAGGAAATGGGCATCAATGTCGATGATAAAGAATTGGCGATGACTTTACTTGGTAGTCTTCCTGAAGAATTCAAACCTCTGATCACAGCTTTAGACGCTGTTGGAGAAAATAATTTATCATATGAAAAAGTAAAAGGAATGCTTTTGAATGATGTTGATCGAAAATCTGATATGAAAAAGAATGAAGATGCTTTTTCTGCACAGCGTGGTTTTAGTGCAAAAGGAAAAGATGGTCGCGACATGGTAACACTCAAGGTGGTGATGGAAAGTCAAATTATCAGAAAGTGATGGGAAATCTGAAAGACCCTTTCATGGTCTTTGTCATTTTTGTCATGAGAGAGGGCATTTTGCAAGAGACTGCCCCAAAAAGAATCCAAAGAATAAGAAGTTTGCTAATGTTGTAAAAGGAGAACAGGAAGAAGATGTTCACGAGGTCACCAATCAAGAAGCTTTATTTACTTCTAATGACGATAGCAATTGTGGTTGGATCATAGATTCAGGTGCCACACAACATATGACGTCTGAAAAGAATCGACTGGTCAATTATGTTGAATTTAAGCAACCTTGTAAAGTGAATCTTGGCGATGATCGCACTATATTTGCATTTGGTAAAGGAGCTTATAATCTTGTAGCTGATTTGGGTAACGGACGTACCCAAAACATATACCCAAAACATTACTCTCAAGGAAGTTCTGTACTTACCTGATCTGAAGAAGAATCTGTTATCTGTCCAAGTAATGGGAAAGTTAGGTGCATTAATTCAATTTGATGGTGTCCAATGCAAGATAGAGAGAAATTCAAAGCTGCTAGCTACTGGTGAGCTACATGGTAAGCTGTACATGCTGAAGATTATTCCTGGAGTGGAGAATATCAATGTTGCGAGAGAAGCAACAGATAAGATTTGTGGCATTGTCAATTTGGACATTTAGGAATGAACGGTATTTCTAAATTGATCAATGAGAACATGGCTGAAGGAATGAACTGTTCTGACCATGGTAAAGAATCATCATTATGTGAATCATGCGTGATGGGAAAGCAACACCGTACACCATTCCCAAAAGATACCCAACACCGAGCAAGTGAACTGTTTGAAATCATTCATACCGATGTTTGTGGTCCTATGCATGTAAAATCATTTGGGAATTCAAAATACTTTGTTACGTTTATCGATGACTATTCAAAGTATACACAGGTGTATTTTCTTAAGAGTAAAGATGAAGTCCTTGAGAAATTTAAAGAGTTTGTGAGCTACATCAATACTCTTGGAAAGAAGGTGAAAGTTCTACGATCGGACAATGGCGGCAAGTATTGCTCCAAAGCGTTCAAGGATTACTTGAAAGAACATGGAATCCTACATCAAACAACAGTTCCGTACAACCCTGAACAGAACGGTACTGCAGAACGCATGAACCGTACTCTACGAGAAGCTGCTCGTTTGATGATGTATCATGCTGGTATGCCTAAAGAATTCTGGGCTGAAGCGGTGAACACTGCAACGTATACAAGAAACCGAAGTCCTACTAATTCTTTGAACAATGCTACACCATTCGAATGCCTATTTAATCGTAAACCAGATGTATCCAATTTAAAGGTATTTGGCTGTGTGGCATATGTACATATTCCTAACCATCAACGAAAGAAATTAGAAGAGAAATCCAGAAAGTGCATGTTTGTAGGATATCCCGATGGTACTAAAGGATTTAAACTGACAAAGACCTGACAAAGAAGACTTTCATCAGAAGTCGAGATGTTATATTGGAAGAAAGAAGTGTCCATAAGTTCAAATGCGAACAGTCTTCTGAATCAAATTCTGATGTCTACTACCCAGCAAAGGAAGATTCTCAAGTTAATCAACCAATTGGTCAAGTTCAAATTCAAGCTGATGATGAAAATATGAATGCTGAAGAAAATCCTCAACCGATTTTGGAAAACAATGTTCCTCTCCAAGAGAATAAAAACCGAGTGGGAGCTATGTATGAAGATAACTTTATGCGTGAAGTGGAAAATTTTAATCAACCAAGACAACGAAGAGCACCTGAAAGACATGAAGAAATGTATGTCTGTGCTGATGATCTTACTGCGGATATAAACGAACCCCGTAATATCTCGGAAGCCTGGTCTAATGAGTACAACACACAATGGAAGAAAGCGACAGACTCTGAGTTCAATGCATTAATGGAAAATGGCACATGGGAACTTGTACCTCCGCCTGATGATAAAAACATTGTGGGAAGTCGATGGGTCTTCAAAGTCAAGCAAAAGGCAGAGGGATCAGTTGAAAAGTTTAAAGCACGTCTTGTGGCACAGGGATACTCGCAGACAGAAGGCATTGACTACAATGAAGTGTTCTTCCCAGTTGTTCGAAACACATCTATTCGATCATTGTTGGCTCTAGCAAACATCTTGGACTGGGAGATCTAACAGATGAGATATATATGAAGCAACCTGAAGGTTATCGAAGCAAAGAAAATCCTGATCACATGTGTAAACTAAAGAAAAGTCTCTATGGATTGAAACAATCCGCTTAGCTAGATGTTGGAACTCTACACTAGATAGTTTCCTGAAATCCAGTGGTTACAAGCAAGTTGGTGCTGATTTGTGCCTGTACATGAAGTCTGTTAAGCTGCAGAATGGCAAAATCAATTTTGTTATCTTATCAATCCATGTAGACGACATCTTATGGTTCTCGAACAACGTGATTATGTTAGAGGAAGAGAAGGTTGCAATTGGCACTAAGTTCAAAGTGGAGGATTTGGGCGAAGTTAGTCATATCCTGGGAATGTTGATCAAACGCGACCGAGACTCAAGAACACTAACCATAAGTCAATCCAAATACTTGGAAGGTGCCTTGAAGAGATTCAATATGGAAGAGTGCAAACCTGTATCTACACCTCTTGAACCCGGAAAACAATTCCACAAGTTATCCGATGATGAAAGACCAGCAAACATTCATGAATAATTTACGTTACAACGGCAACACGACCTGATCTAGCTGCAGCAGTTGGCATTTTGTCGAAGTACATGACCAAACCTAGCCAAGAACATTGGAAAGGTGTAAAAAGAATTTTGAGATATATTAAAGGAACGCTAAACTTTGGTATTACCTTTCAAGCTAAAGACCAAACGTGTATTTTAACTGGTTATTCCGACGCTGACTGGGCAAACGACACAAATATTCCACGTCTGGATATATATTTCAGATTAGCGGATGCACAATTAGTTGGTGCAGCAAGAAACAGTCTTGTGTATCTAGATCGTCCATGGAAGCTGAATACATGGCATTAAGTCTTGCAACTCAGGAGGCTATTTGGCTAAGACAATTACTAGAAAATATCGGAGTCAAGCAGAAAGAATCCACAGTAATGTGCGAGGACAACCAAGCGGCAATCCAATTATCGAGAAACCCGAAGTTCCACAACCGCACGAAACATATCGATGTAGCATTCCATTTTGTGAGAGAGAAAGTGCAAGATAAGTCTATTGATGTTGTGTATTGTCGAACGGATGAAATGCTCGCTGACATTTTAACAAAAGGTCTTCCAAGACAGACATTGGAGAAGTTGAGAAAGCAGTTATGCGTAACTGAGATTAAGTAACTGAAACTGATCAGATTAATTAACTGACATTTTTTTAGGATACTAAATTTTCATATTGTTGAACGTTAAGATGTATCATCAAGTGGGAGCGTTAGATTATATGATATATTGTGATGATACATTTATAATATTGTTACATGAAGTTTCGGCTTAGAATCACGCGACTTTTCCTCTCAATACTTCGAAGATGAACACCGCGTATATAAACTGTTGAACCATGTGATTGTACATATTTTATTTCATATTCGTATTATTAAAACTATAAAAACAACAATTTTTATCCCAAAGAAACAATGTTGTTCCAGTGGCTTTACTTGACACTATGGCTGAGGCCGACCATGAAAAAGATAATGAGTCTGACATGCAGAAAGACCATGTTGATGATGAAAATCATGACATTATTGAAGGTATTATTAAAATATGTAATAATATTTTCATATTATGACTATTTTTTTACTAGAACATTGCAATTACACATTTTAAATTCTGTAATGTAAAATATCCTGTGAAATGACACCATAATCCTGTCCTTAAAAAGTTTTTTATATACTCCTGAAGGTCTTGTCCAGTAAGTATGGTGAAGGTGAACATTCTGTCAGAAAATGTCAGACATGTGCTTTTGAAAAAATCATTTACTCTGATGGAGTCCATACCACAGAAGGTGGCTCTTTGATGGTCTATTGTGAAGAAGAAACATTTTCCTGTCCAAACTGTGACATTTTAAGTGACGTTGACAATACTAGTAGTAAGGAATAATTTCTGTCATTTAATTACCATCATAGCATTAAGTCCATTGCATTTTGTGACATTACCTTTGACAGGGGTTACAAAATAACAAAATTTGTGCTCTTGCTAAGAAATATTTATTTACAAAATTGATTTAAAGCATAATTGTTATCTTTGGCCACTTGCAACTTTTTTTTAGTTGAGAGAGAAGTGAACCAACAGTCTGAAACTAGCCAACAGCCTGAAGCCAAGCAACAGTCTGAAACTAAGAAACTGCCTGAAGCTGAACAAAAGGCTGAATCTGACCAAAAAGGTGATGCTAAGCAAAAAGCTGATGGCAAGCAGGTTGCCCACAGCCTGACATAGGAAAGATACGAAGGAAAAAAAGAAAGAGTGCTGTAGAAAAAAACATTGATGCTGCACTGGAACAATTCAAGTCAGTGACAAAGGACGATTTTGAAAGGTATATTCACCTTTTAGATATACTAAATGTTATGCATATTTACTAGATATTGCTAGGCATAATTGACGTAGGATAATGCTTCAATGTTTCACTGATTCATTAAACATGGCGGACAGGAAGCAAGCCACCAAGCACGCTGCGCAAAATTTAAATATCACCAACCCATGTACGCCTTTAAAAGCAGTCCAAACTAAAATTCCTAAACTCAACACACCAGAGAGAAGAATGGAAGAAAAAGAATGAGAAAAAGAAGTAGATATGCGCCAAATTCAACAAATGTTCTCGACTATGATGACGAAACTTGAGAAGCTTGACGGAATAGAAGCAGACATGAAAGAGATAAAACATTCCTTGGAATACGCGCATGCTGAAATAGCAGATTTAAAACAGCAAAATGAAACAAACAAAGTAAATCAAGAACAAGCAAGAGAAAGAATTGGAAAACTGGAGCAAGACAACGCCACATTGCGTAACAAAATAGTAGACCTACAAGCGAGATCCATGCGCGACAATCTACTGTTCTTTAATATACCTGAACGCGACCAAGAAAATACCACCGAAATCATTCATGAACTACTCGAAACGAAAATGGAAATACGCGACGCACGGAATAAAGTCAAGATTGACCGGTCCCACCGAATTGGAAGAAAAAGAGAGAGAAATCGCAAACCACGTCCAATCATAGTCAAGTTCAATTATTATCAAGACCGAGAACATGTGCGGATCAACGCGAAGAAATTTAAAGGAACGAATATCGGGGTATCTGAACAGTTCCCTGAAGAAATTGAAAGCGTAAGAAAGACATTATATCCCGAACTGAAAAAAGCTAAAGCCGAAGGTAAAAGGGCCAAAATAGTAAGAGATAAATTAATAATTAAAGATAAATTAATAATTACAATAGGTCTTAAAAGTTTGAAACCTGATAGTCTTAATATCATAGTCTATATTTTACTAACTAAACACAATTTTATAGTCTATTTCTTACTTCAAATTATCAATTATTGTACCATAAACCTTCCCAATGACCACACTTAACAATGAGCACAAGAAGAAACGTTCTTCTTGCTTCAAAACTATCCAAAAAACACAAAAATCTATTGAATGTTTAACATGTAGCAAATGGTTTCATGCTGTGCCTGCATGCACAAAGTCATTCAACTCCAGCATAGATAACACT